TTTTTGGGTGCCACAAAATCTTTTTTTTGTTAAGGTACAGACTAGGTGCTTGCAATTTTCTTCTGGTGTTCGTCCAAAATTTGAGGTCTATCAAATGATGTACGAGGTGGAGAATTGTGAAGTATATGTTGACTGGTTTGTCAACAGATTTTTTTTTTTGTTTTGTTTTGTGAACCATGGTTAGGGCAACTAACTATAGTATGGTAGAGAAAACAAATATAGCAGCAGTTTTTTTTTATATGTACCAGCAGCAGAAACGTGAGAGCAATAGAGACTGGAGAGTTGAAAAAGGGAAGAGGTTGTTCTTCTCTTGGTGAAATCAAAAGCTCCTTCTTTATAGATTGAATGGTGTTCTTCATGTACTAAAATCTGTTTCTCATATTCTTGCATCTTGGTTTCTTCACATCTAAATCTTTTCACACAAATAGTAAGAAAAAAATAAACAGGAACTCGTTTTTTTTTTCTTTCTTCACAGAAACTGATTTCTCTTCTGGTGATTGTTTGCTTCTGCTGTGTTGAGTGTATCCCTCTAACAGGTGCAACAGAAGAGACGGCAAGAAAGTATCCCAGTTTATGTAACCTATACTACACAAACTACGTAAAGCAAAGAGAAGGAACTCAGCCCGAGGTGCATGAATACAACACTGGATAACCAGAGAAATTAAAGCAGATTCTGTTACAGCATGCAGCTGCACCTGGTCCTGGAAAAGATGCACCACGAAGTCAAGAAACAAATTTAATGTAATCAACAAACTATCTATTGATGCTACCAGAAACTATCTTAAAGCTTACAGGAAATTGGATCTGTAACTGCTTAAAATCTAAGAGGAACTGTTCATTTGATGGAGGAAGCTCTCTGTTAAAAGCAGTAACCCGCTTCTGTGTCTTGTTCATGTGAAACAATTTTATCAATATCCATCATAAGATTTTATCCATACAAAGAACAATAAAAATAAGGGTAGAAAATTTCAAAGTTGATGCATGAAGTACGAATGGTATAATCTAGTTTCCCTATAAGATACATGCACTATTGAGGAAAACATATATAATGTATTCTCCGTCTTCTAAAAAAAGTAAATAAGTAATGTACCATCAATTATGTAAGTAATGAAGTCCAGACCCTAACTTAATTAGTTAATTAATGGATCAAAGAGTTTTCCATCAATTTATTTTGTTAATTAGTGATTCCTCGAGACTAATATTATAAGTTTAAGTAGATGTGAAATAGACATCATCTCTTTAACATTTATCATTTGGATACCAACGATCTTAAGTTAAGATTCTCTAAAGTTAGTGAAAATTTATATGTTGCTCCTCCCAAACAACTGCACCAATCGGTATAATAATGGGATTACAGTGTTTAAGAAAACATGAAATATAGCAACTTTTTAAGTTTTCAAACATCTCATTTTACTTCATTGGGTAAATGCATGAGTATGTTGTGGTGTATAATAAAAATAAGTAATACAGAAATCTTCCTATATGCAT